CGGATCTTTAACGTGCGCAACTTGGAAACGAGACCTCCAAGATTTGTTACCCTTATCTGAGAAGGCTAGGTGTTAGATCTTTCCTACCATAAAATCAGGGGTGTGGCTAAAAGACAGCAGTAACAAGGAGCCAAGGAGTAGCACTAGAAAGGCTGCAGAAAAAGTCATGAGCCCACAGAAGGGGGTAAAAGAGGTGAGGGGTGGGGGAAGAAAGTGGACCAGACGAAAGCAGCCGACAAAACATTGTTAGAGAGCAAGAAAGAGGGTGAAAGGATACATTTTAGAGAAAATAAATTCCGTCGCAATTCGGATTCGAACCCGGGACCTATTGAATGAGAGGCGAACACCGCAACCCCTCGACCACGAGAGCCCCTCAATAAACCATTCGATCCCACCTCTGAACTAACATTTTGTTGTAAAATGGGTAGAACTGACCTCAGAATAACCACAAAAACATACTTTAACATACTCTTTTTAATTGATTTAAATTCGTTGTTATTGCTGTCGTTGCTTTGTTTTAATTCCCCGTCCCCCAAATGAGATTGAACAAAGATATTGAAAAATACTCAATAGCTGCCCATTTTACGGCTCTAGATTTGACCAACAGGGTTCAAATCATACAGACATCTTTGTGAATTATTCTGAATGTTCTCCCCCTCTCCAGTCAAATTTGAGAAGGGCGTTGATTCGAAAACCCCATTCTTCAAAGTACTGCTTTTTTACGAGGCCACATTAAATCTATAAATGTGAAGACTCAGCTGCGTTCTTAGGTTTGATTGGTTAACTAAACAGATGGTTCGTTAACCGGGCAAGACGGGTGGCGACAGTCATTTTTGGTTAGTTGGAGAAATGTATTGCTGATAATAAGTTTCATTCAGTTTTAAGTAAATCCAGACTAACATTTATCAATGTAAAAAAAACAAACCCATTTGTCAATTTGAAGGGACTCAAAGAGACAATAGGGCATCAGTGCTATGCTGTCGCTCTTCAGAGACTCTTTTTT